GTCATCCGAATAATTAGATGTGTAATCACAATATAAGAAATGACATAACTAAATTTATAATACAGTTAAATAATAGGAAATAAAATAAGAGTATTTTATTAATTGTTGAATGAARTATAATATCMTCTAATCTTGAGGAATCATACAATCCAAGGTATATAAGCAATAACATTCGTTATATTATAAGCTTACCGATTGTTGTAAACAATAGCTAATCATGGTTGGCCAAAAACCGAAKAATTGAAATTTAAATTGGATTCATTATAGACAGAGAAATTATTATTGTCTTAGTTTTGATAACAGAAAACTTAGTTTTGTGTAATGATGCTTACGATGTATAAGCACAAAAAAGGATGATGTACATGTACCATTTTTCATCCTCAACACACATCCTGACTTTAAAAACACAATAGTGAATGGACCARCCATACGATATGTACAAAATCACATACCAAACTTAAAGACTTCAAATATTTATAACCCAATAAATAAAATTATAATGCAATCAAAATCACAACRCGAACATACATAAAATTATCACACGACTAAACTTACGATAAGAACATACTTAAAAAATATAATCCAATCAAAATCATGATACAAACATACATAACATTCTAATACACTCTAAATTACAAAATAARCTTGCATRAAATCCTTACCTTAGATCATAATCATAAATTCCCACAACCCAAACTTGAAAACTTCAAATTTTTAATACTTAATATATAAAAGTTGAGAAACTCGAAAATCTGCAAATCAAAAAAGGTTCAACATAAGTAAAAATTACATAGTAAACTTGAGCACTTCAAATCTTCACCTAATACATAAGAGTTATAATACAAACAAAATCACGATAMAAACATAAATAAAATTATAATACAATCAAAATCATGAAACAAATCAATATAAAATTATTACCTTGTATTGCAACCAAAGAATCAAATATTGAACTTGAAGACTTCTTCAAATCTTCATGAGATAATGCATAAAAACTATAATGTAATCTAAATAACGATACACACATTCATAAAATTATAGGAGAAGAGAAATAAGAAAAAAAATATATGAAGAAATAGAAGAAAAACATTCGTAAAATAGAAGAAAAACCAAAGATGAATAAAATAAATTTAGAGATGTATAAGATAGAGATAGAATTTGAGAGGATGTGAGAGATGAAGATGAACAAAAAGTTGTTTTTATATATATAAATAAATAATTGATTGGAAAAGATGAATGATTTGGAGTTATGTAATTTGAATTAATATAGAAGAAAATGAATGGTTTGAAGTTGAATGCAAACATTTAAGAAAAAAAACATAAATTGACAAAAAAAAATATAGTAGTGGATATTAAAAGAATGAAGGAGAAAAAAGAGAAATAAGGTTCTAAGTTCTAGGAGAAGTCATCTCAACAACTCATGGTTTCTTCTTTAATATATAAACCCAAATAAACAAAAATGCAAATGACCTCCAAAAAAACTGAATAGATGGGAAGAATTGAGAGGTTAAGAAATATATTATGCTTAAACAATGTTAAATTGTCTCTTCAATGATTCATATGCCACTTTATCTATATAAAAAGAAATCCATATGCCTACATAATTCCAACTATAATGTGAATGTCTCCGACTAAAAAAAGAAAATATTATACTTACATAAACAAAAACTCATATCATGATTTGTCTTATTRAATGACACCTCAAATAAACAAAAATGCAAATAACATCCACAAATTTATATCTGAATAGAGAGAAAAAATCGAGAGATTAATAGAGAGATTATCATAGAAGTGTACCACAAAATTATACATGAGTATAGAGGAAGAATTGAGAGATTATTATAAAGGTTTACCTTGAAGAAAAAATGAAAATTTGTAACTAAATAGAGAGAAATGATGAGAGTTAAAAGAGTAATTATGAGAGGGAACATGAATAGGTTGAAACAACCTAATTAAAAGATCTTAAATGTGAATATTAAAAATCAAAAACAAATATTGAGGTAGGAAAAGCTTGAAAAAAGGAGAAAAAAGATAAAACATTTTCTTGTTTTGAGAAGATGTCACATCATTACATGTGGTTTCTTCTTTAATATATATATAGATTAGGTCTCGTTTGTTTGTAAGATTCGGATGTGAATCGGAAAGATTTGAAATTTAATTTAATTTCAATCTTATATTTGGTTGGAAATATTATTTGGATTTGAAACCCTAAACATGGGATTTAGAAATTTAATGGGATTGTTAGGTGGATTTTGTAGAATTGATGAGTAATAATGTTGATTTTTTTTTGTTTTACAATAATTTGGTAATAAAAAAGTAATTTAATTATTTAAAATTTGCTTTATTTCATTCCAAATATACAAATCAAACACAATTAAAAATTCTAAATCCCTCAAAGTAATTCCATCAAACCAAACACCCATTAGATTTAGGGGCCGTTTACCAAATACTTACTTGGGTAAGCACTTACCAAGTTATATTACCTTACCGGATGAATATGGTAAGGATAAAAAATCTTACCCGGTAAGAATGAGGTAAGTATTGAGAGTCTTACTTGGTAAGTGAGGGCAATGACTCTTACCGCTGTTAGCTCTTACAGGGTAAATTGTCGCATAAAAAGCCGTTTTTGTTGACTAAAATCTTACCCAGTAAGTAAATAATATAATTGAATTTTACCGGTAAGTGTTTAATGGGTAAGTGTTTGATAAAGGGCCCCTTAGTTACAAATTCCATCCCTATGTTTTTTATGGAAATTACAAAAAAAGGTTTCTAATCTTAAAAGATTATGAGTAGAGCTTTTAAAGTTTCACTTTCTTTATAGATCCGATCTCTTACTATGATTTTATTAAAAAAAAAAATTATATTAGTCTATAGACATTTTGATCTTTTAACTTATTATTTTAACGATTTATACAATGTACAAACTCCACGAATCCCCATCCCCAATTCGATGGCTAATCCTCCCTGCCTTCGCATCTTCCGCATAGCAAGATTTGTGCTAGATTTTAGTTCTAGATTTGAGTTCCCGGTAACGGTGGTGGTGGTGGTGGTGGTGGCCGGATTAGAGATGAGGGTGATTTAAATTTGGATTATAGAGGGAAGGAAAGGAAAGAGGGATGAAAGTGAAACTTGAAAGACCCTAATCATAAATAATTCTTCAAGGACCAAGAACCTCCATATTTTATATGAAGCCACATGTACGGAATTTATAATCAACTCTTATATTAATTAATATGTCACGACACGAGTGTATAATTTATAATTTTGTTTTAAATAAAACACTTGATCATGTATGTATACATTGACGTGGCACTGGGTCCTGCACAATAGAAACGAAGACAGTTAGCTGAAACGACAGTTAGATGGCACACATTCTAACCAACAACTGGTCTCTCCTCCCCTTCCATTCAAAACCTAAATCAAAACCCTCCCTCACATCTTTGTTCAAGGTTTCCAAACCCTAATACCCATCAACCACTCATTTTCAATTCCCAACGCCGATTCCAAGGTAACTTTATCTCTCTTAGCTTTTCAAATGCATAAATTTATTTCCTGATTTTGCTGATACATGCTTGAATAAAATCCCTGATTCCTCTTTTTCTTGGTTGCCACAATCTAGTTTTGATTTTCAAATTACATAGGCACGATGCTTATGTGGGCGTATTACTGTGTGTGTTGATGTATATACGAAATTGCTTCTTGCTTCTTGCTTTTTTCTTTTTCTTATCTGCTTCTGCTTTCTGTAGTTGCAGATGAATTTGAATGCATCATACGTACTCCTGTCAAAAAGAAACGCAAAATTTTCCTGTTAAACCTATTTTTTTGGCTTGAGTGATCGTTACTTGAAGCGAGTAACCTTGATTTTGGGTAACTTTCTATATTTTGTCATCATGAAGAGGCGTTTTAGACCTTTGATCAACATTCTAGTAGCAATTTTCGGTTTGATTAATGATTAAAAAAATGGACCCATAGGAAAATGAGATTAGGTAATTTTTCTCTTGGGTTCATATTGTAGTTATAATTGTTATGACAATAGAATATAAAATTGACTCATTAATGTATGCTGAGTTATGGTTGGAGTTATGGATATAACTTCTTCACTATCTCTAACTTTTTGTTGGATCAATGATTTCTTGCAGCAAGCCTCAATGCAAATATCCATGGCCGTCAGGGTTTAAGAGGTAACCATCCTCTTTGTATCTTTATTTCTCATTGTATATTGATGCAGTCTTTGGTGTTGGTTCATCGTGTTCCATCAATTTATTTTAGCTAATCGGTCATTAGAATCTATAGTTGTTGCAAAAGGTCAATCTTCGAAAGAACTCTCACTGTACATCATGTATCCGGAACATATATGCCTTTTCATTTTAACGAAGACAAATCAATTCTAGACAGATGAGTTGGTTTATGAGTATAATGACAAGAAGATATATATGTTTGTGATTTGCATTCTTCAACTCATTTTTCTTGGGAATTGCAGTGAACACAATCATGAAGTTGAATGAAGTGATTTCAGGATTTGAAGAGCTAGGAGATGGTCAGAGCTCTATATATTTTTTCTAATCTAATTACGAGACTTTGATTAGATTCACTGCAAAAAAAATGGAGCTTCAAGAGGCTGAAAGGACGGTTATAGCAAAACCAGTTGCTTCAAGGCCTACCATTTCCAATTTCAGATCATTCTCTGAGCTCCTTGCTGGTGCCACTAATGGCTCACCCTTGTTGGAACCCACGATTACTGCCATCAGACCGAAGACGGTGAGGTTCAAGCATGTCACGAACTCTCAACCGGTTGAGACGGTTTCTTCTCAGGTCAATCCCTTCTCCTTTACTCTCTCTTCTATACCCGTGTTGTGTGTGCAACGCATTCTGTTCGTGTAGACCATTTAACATTCAACATTCCCAGTTTGCATCATGATGGTGTGAGCAGAAATAAGACATGATCATGGGTCCCATTTACTTGACGCAATGAATACTTAGATGGGACCGAGAATATGGAGACAGGTGGTGAATTATAGCAAGTTTCTTGGGTACTTACCAAAGTTCCTTCATTTCAGGCACAGTTAGACAGAACTCAAGCTTCCCATTTGTCTGATAAGATTGTGAAATCAAACCACACATCTCCTTTGCTATACAAACCCTTGGCAAAGACGGTATCAAGAACAACCATTAGTCTGTTGGCAAACATGGTTGGTATTTATATCTTTGAATCAACATATTCAATGTTTGACAACTGAATTTGAATCGAGATTTTGTGCCCTGTTCATAGCTAATTGGATTTTGTCCCCAGAATATTTGTATGACTAGTTATTTAGACATCGTTCTTTGTAATGCTTTAGGGAACCTTTAATACAAGTCGTGAACAAGCACTAGCTGCTTCACAATCAGAGAATGCGAAAGGCATTAATCCTCCAAAATTGACTCCCATGAAGTCTGGAAATGATAAAAGATCGCAGTTTCACACAAATAACAGCGATCGGCCTTCTTACGACGGATATAATTGGAGGAAATACGGACAAAAGCAAGTAAAAGGAAGTGATTACCCAAGAAGTTACTACAAGTGCACCCACCCCAATTGCCTGGTAAAAAAGAAGGTTGAAAGATCAATAGATGGGGAGATAGCTGAAATCGTGTATAAGGGTGAGCATAATCATTCAAAGCCCCGACTTCCTAGGCGTCATGCTTTTGATGGGACTAGTGAAGGTTCAAACACCCAATTGCCAAACAATCAACTCAATAACGATAATGAAGGTTCTGAAGGCGGCACAGGAATTAAGATCGATGAAGTTCTTGGATCGTCTTCACATTTGACCAATTTGGTCAAAGTCCAAGAATCTTACAATCATGTTTCAAGTGAAGCAGTTGATGCGTGTATGCCAACTCTTGATCGTTTTTGTGGTGTGGCTCGGGTTCATGATGAATCCGCAAGTAAAAGAAGGTACCACAGAATTTCTATGCCACAGTCTTGTTCATCTTAGTGTTCAAGATTATTTATACTCTTTTCTTTTTCTTTCTGGTTCATCTTTTCTGGTGGCATTTGGAAATTTGAGCCAGTTTTTGACTTACAGATCATATAATCATGCTCTTGCATTCAAGTTTAAGGCTGTTCAATTGTTCAACTGTGTTTGTTTTGCAGGAAAAGTTCGAGTATATTAAATGAACCTTATGGGGAAGGCTTACAACAGCCTCGAATTGTTGTTCACGATGGCACCGATTCAGAGGCAATCTCAGATGGTTTCCGGTGGAGAAAATATGGGCAGAAAGTTGTGAAGGGAAATCCTTATCCAAGGTCAAATATTTATATATCCTTCATTAGATATAAATTAGATACGAGGTCAAGTTTGCGCACATCTTACCCTCAACCCCACTTCCGAGCGGGACATACCGGGTTCGTTTCGCTTGGTTTAGACTTTAGATGCGTCATTTGTTGTTCAAGTTATACATACATACATACATATATATATACATACATACATATATATATACATACATACATATACATACATATATATATATATATATATATATATATATATATCTTTGGAGATTAAGTCTAGCATCAGAAAATGTTGTGTTTAAGTGCAGAAGTTACTACAGATGCACCGGTGTTAAGTGCAATGTTCGGAAACATGTGGAAAGAGCATCGGATGATCCAAGTGTTTTCATCACTACATATGAAGGTAAACATAACCATGAAATGCCGATCAAGAAATCCAACTAACTGCTCAACTTGTGTTGAAATTGACCTTCAGAATCAAGGTTTAAATTAGCCGAAAAATATTCAAAATTCGGTGGGGTTGATGGTTTAGATTCATTGAGCTCTTTACTCTCAATTTGTTTATTTTCAAGATGATTAATGTTAACACTATTATCCACTTACTGGGTAAGATTTTAATCCATCAAAACGACATTGTATGCAACAATTCACCCGGTAAGCGCTTACCGTGGTAAGAGTCATCGCCCTCACTTACCGTGTAAGACTCGTGGTCATTGTTTCGCTCTTACCGGTAAGATTCTTAGTTCTTACCATATTCATCCGGTGAGGTAATGTGACTTAATAAGTGTTTACTCAGATAAATGTTAAATCTGAATATTCCACTTGGAAGCAAACTGTGTAATGGTTTTTTGTGTCGGTTGATTTTTTTGACAATTAAAGTTTTTAATAATTTATTCCCTACAAAAGGAAGCGTGTTAAATAATAATATAAGCTTTCGTGTTTATACAAGTAGAGGTGGATCTAGAAATTTTTTGAAGCGGTTGCACTAACTAACTATCATAATATAATATAAAAATTAATCGAAAAATACAGTTTTATCATACAATTAACGTTAAAATAAGTTATTTCTTATTTGTGTTAAAAAATAAAAATACAATTAATTTAGAAATATTTGATATTGGGCTTGTTTTGAGTGTAATTTGTAAGAAAAAATATGTATTTTTAATGTATTTTAGTTATTAATTAATTAATAAATATATAGATGGAAAACCTAGAATTGGCAAAAGAATATGATACGTGTAAGATAATTTGAGATGGAATTGTTGTTCGCTTTTTTAAATGATGAAGGCAATAAATGCTAGCCGACAAGTGTCAGCCAAATGTCACAACACCACATAAATCGTCAAATTGATTCCCTCTGAATTTGACTTTTATGAAACATGAATTACATCCCACTTATTTCTTTTCCTTTTTTGTTCCCAAAAATGCATGGTTGATGCGGTGGGTTTTAATTCATTATTTAAATTAGACTAAAATTTGATGTAATTTTTTTTATATATTTTTTTATTTTAATCTTTCAATCTCTCATCAATATTATATATCTTAAACTTAACCAACACAATTCATCAACATCTTAATACTCAATTTTTATGATGTCACATCAATATTTCTTGGTTTTTCTTTTAATATATATATATATATATATATATATTGATGATTTATATTTATACTATATTATAAATTATTTGATAAAAACTCTTAAAAATCACTTGTTATACGTAAAATATTGTTTATTAATGCATAAAACTTAAAACTCATGATTACAAGTAGATTATGTGTAAGTACAACTTATTAAAAAACTTTATATATGTATTCGTGTAACTAACTGCAGATAAACATAATCAAATATATGATAAACATCTCATTTTAAATATAAAAAATCTAAAACATTATTGAATTCTAACAGAATGTTTAATTATTATCTTTATAAAATTTATATTATTAAATAAAAATAAATTATTTCACTATTAAACTTAAATTAAATTATAAAAAAAATTAAAGAAATTACATAAAAAAATGAAAATTTTTAAATAGTTGATTTGATATTAACATTTATATATTTTTTTTTCAAATTTTTTTATGATATCTTCAAATTTATATTTTATTCAAAAATAAAATCATTATTGTTTTCTTAAAAACACATAATCTATATAATATTATAAATCATTTGACAAAAATTCTTAAAAATCATTTTTTATGCAGAAAGTACTATTTATTTATGCATATTACTTAAAACTCAATATTGTAAGTAGATTGTGCGTAAGTACAACTTATTAAAACTCGATATCTGAATTCGTGTAACTAACTGCAGATAAACATTATCAAATACAAGATAAACATCTCATTTTAAATATAAAAATCTAAAATATAATTAGGATAATCATTGAGTTCTAACAGAATAATTAATTATTATCTTTATAAAATGTTATATTATTAAATCAAAAATAAATTATTTCGTTATTAAACTTAAATTAAATTATAATAAAAAAATAAGTTACATAAAAAAATGAAAACTTTTAAATAGTTGATTCGATATTAACATTGATATTTTTTTTCAAATTTTTATGATATCTTCAATTTTATATTTTATTCAAAAGAAAAATCATTATTGTTTTTTTTTAAATACATAAAATCGTATTATAACATCGACAGAGACAAATAATAAAATAGAACATTAAAATCGAGATGTGTGTCGCTGCATTGCGCGAATACTTTTCTAGTATTTCTAATATTAATTTACGATTAACTTGGATATCCCACTTACTATGCGAGTTAACTAATTCCAGAACGACCATCCGTTTTACATGTAGCTCGGAATTACAACATTTGAACCTCCATGACCACAAGAGGATTTTTATTCCTCACTAGATTCAAACTTGAGACCTTCGGACATTTTTAACCTTTAAAACCCAAACTCAAATCAATCAGATATCACACATTAACATTTTTATATCATCAACTTTATTCGTAAATCTTTATTAAATCAAGAATGTGTGTCATGGCTTAGAAAATAAACCATATACAAAAATACTTTAATTTAATTTATATTTTTATAAGATATATTTTGAAAGATCCATTTTAACCGCTTATAAATAAAATAAAATTATTTACAAATAAAATAAAATGCGGCGACTCCGGACTATCTGCAAAACAGATGGTTGTCCTGGGATTAATCGGCTCGCAAAGCAGGTTGGATATCCAGATTAATCAAAATAAATAAATAAATAATATAAAATTATTTACATGTAGTTTGAGAGTGTTTGGGTTTGCTTATTTAAAACAACTTATATTTTTCTACAAAAGCACTTGTCAACTTATTATAAGTCATAAGAGTTTAATTTATTCAAAAACTCCTATTACCGGTTTGGCACTGGTATAAGTTGTTTATCTAAACACTCAAAAGTGATTATTACCGGTACCACACCGAAATAAGTCAATAAGTTGTTTTTATAAGCAATCCCAAATACCCCCTTGGTTTGAAAGACATTTATATTGAAAAACGTAAGTACAAGAACACATCAAACTGTATTAATGCCAAGTTAACATTAGATATCATAATATTTATTTTCAAACTATATATTCCTAAAATGAATTGTAAAAATGTTTCGTTTTTGCCAATAAAAAATGTAGTCGGATAATGTTAGAGTCTATTAATTCTTTGTAAGAACATATCTTATGTTCTATTCTTTTTACTGTATTATCTTCTAAATATATTAAAATAAAAATACTGAAAAATAAGAAAGTATGCCAAATGCAATATTTTAATACGGGTAACATGGCAACATATGAAAATCATGTCACCATAAACTTATATCTTTACTCTTTAGTTTAGTTTCGTAAAATATAAAGGAATGCAATAAATAAAGTGTACACCATTCAGACCCTACAAATATTTCAACAGCATTATTAGGACAATGGATTGAGAGCACGTACAACCTTTTTTCCATGTAGGACCACCAACCACAACCACTGCCATTAAAATTCACTGGAATTAGGGTTTCTTTGTTCCTCTCCAACAATGTATCTCCCTTTTAAAATGGGTGCTTGATACTAATATGAATTATAGGATTAACTAAGGTCTTCGGTCTAATGAAATAAGACGAACATAGGTGGTGCATGGTTGTCGTCAGTTCGTGCCGTAAGGTGATCCCCTTTTTACGTCTCCATACCCTCTGTGTGTTGACATGGGGAGGGGGGTGCATGTAATTTTTGAAATGAATGGAAAGATAATCTACTTTCGTTACGGGGAGGAGCCCATGTAATTTTATGTTATATACTAAACCTTTTATTTCAATTGTAAATGTTGGGGTTGTTTTTTCAATCAAAACTATAATCATCATTTAAACATTGTTTGATAAACATAAACTAACTTATTTTTTGTGTATATGTTTGGATAACTATAAGTTAATTTATAGGTTAGTTTATTAAAATGCTACTTGAAGTAGTGTTTTAGGAGCTTATTGATTTTTTTTTTTCAATTATAACCCTCATTAATATTGATTATTATTAATAATAAA